TCCTTTTCTTCCAACTCACAGCCCACCTGTGGGGTATAACCACTGACAACATTCATCATCACTCCTTCTATTTCTACCTTCACACAAATCAACCTGTCTGACTCTCGTTTTACCTCCACCACATTTCTTGCATAGTCTTCCTTTAGGATTACCCCTACTCCATTTTTCTTCCCATTCAAACCATGATAAAATAGTTTATAGCATCCTCCAATGTTTCTAGCCTTACTGCCCTTCCACCTGGTCTTCTGCACAAAATATCTACTCTTCTTCTCTCCATCATATCAGCTCGTTCTATACTTTTCCCTGTAATTGTACCTAGATTTAGAGTTACAAAATTCAGACCAACACTTCCATCCTTTCTCTTTTAGAATAGAATAGAATGCCTTTATTGTCATTATACCTTCAGTACAATGAAATTGTAGGTGTTTTCTCTCAATTACAGTCTCAATCACAGCCAAATAATAATAATACGGCATAGCAGAAATGACAGAAATGTTTCAGGATCTAAAACCTAAGTTGCTGCGCATCCAATACTGTATTAACTGCTAATATGAACACAACACAAGTCTGAGATAAGAATCAAACTGAGAACTTAGTAGAGAAACAGACAGACAGGCTATCAGATTGTGTATGAGACTGAGAATTCAATTCAGAGCCAAGATCTGAGAATTAGACGAATTAGAACAGGGTGCCTTAAGTTTACAGCCCTCCACATGAACAGTGTGATTTTTTTCCTTGAAAAACCAGATGTATACAATCAGATACATGCAGTGCACAGATAATTCAACAGGGGATAATTATTCACTCATTAGCGGGCCTTCCAGTGACACTACAAGATTGCCATGACTCAGGATTTGGACACAGGTGGTTTTTGAAGAAGAACTCTGTCACACTTGAAAATATCTGCCGGCGATACCGGCATGTTATGCGTGACAAATGTACTGTATATATGGTGAGCATTTAATTAATGTAGGGTACCTCAGTTAGACACTGGAGGGCACTGTTGTTGTTGTTGTTCTACTGTTGATAACAGTGTAGGGAGGTTCGTGAAGGGTAAATACGTATATACGTAAATCATCCTCATCCTTCATCCTCCTCATCCTTCTGAGTATGCATACTTATAACAATCGCATCCACTGAGCCCAATAATTGTAAAATCTCACCATGCCTCAAGCCAAGCATAATGTACAATTCAGCTGAATCGTGTAAACGAGCCATATTCTTGGCTCGCAGGTGAACTTTCATCATTTCATTAATTTTAATTTTATTTATAGAGCGCATTTCATGCACAAAGCAAACTCAATGTGCTTTACAGAATCAAGTAATTACGTGAAAGTTATCACGAAATACACTGGTCCCTCTCCTATCGCAGTCGTTGCGATAGGAGGGCACAACAACAGTGCCCTCCTGTGTCGAACTAATGTATCCTACATTAATTAAATGCTCACCATAGATACAGTACATATGTCACGCATGACATGCCGGTATCTTAGATTTCCCAACCATACGTACTGTACATGATTGTTTGTTATTTTAATGTATTGCCCTGTATGTATGTGTAGCAAAATGTCTTAGATATACTTTCTCGTGAGCACGAGAAAGTATCTCGTGAGCATGTTCTTTCCATAGTTGAATGTGCTGACAACAAAATCACAGAAATTATCAATGAAAATCAAATGTATCAACCCATGGAGGTCTGGATTTGGAGTTATACTCAAACTTAAAGTGGAAAAACACACTACAGGCTGATCCAACTTTGATGTAATGTCCTTTATGAGGTCATTAGAGGGACAACACAGACAGGAAGGTTTGGAGAAAAAGCCAGAGAAGCCAGATTGAGATGGTTTGGACAATGGTGCGCAGGAGGGACAGTGGATACATTGGTAGAAGAATGCTAGAGATGGAGCTACCAGGTAGGAGAAAAAGAGGAGATATATGGATGTAGTGAAGACGGATATGTAGAAGTAGAAGAGTAGAAGATGCAGAGAACAGGGAGAGATGGAAAACAATGATACGCTGTGGCAACCCCTGAAAAGGGGACAAGTTGAAAGGAAAAGAAGATATATATTATATAAATATATTCATATTATAAATATAAATATATATAATATATACATGTAACTCAGTGAATTAAATATATATAACATCAAGCAACATACAGTCTTTTTATTTTACATAATTTATAAATGAAATAATTTGGTACATTTAGAGTAAAAAACTAGATATGTAACTTACTGTATCATATTATATATTAATACATTTTTTAAATATAAATATATATTATATATAAATATAATATATATATTATATAAATATATATAATATGTTTT